TTGCTATTTTATTCTGTGTTCTGTTGCCCACTATGAAGAGATATGTCAGTTATGGAAGTAAACACTCCGTTCCTTGGGCTTTGGATATTTTTTATATGCCTTTTTATATCCTCTGCACATGAAGGGGCTGCTAATTACATTAGCTGACACCCCCGAGACAGGCAAATATGCGACAACCCTTCTACCGATAGCAGAATTTGCATACAACAACGCAACACACTCAACAACAAAAACAACACCATTCTTTGCCAACCTCGGCTACCATCCGAAATTCACCATCACCATCCCAAGAGTCTCGAAGGACAATGTCCCAGCCCAGGAACGCGTCCAGGCCCTAAAGAACCTCTATGCGGAGATGCAACTCAATATTCACACCGCCATTGAACAGCATGCCAGGAACTTCGACACCAAGGCCCAACCACAACCCAATCTGCAAGTAGGAGATCTTGTATGGCTAGACGCCCGGAACCTCCAAACGAACAGACCATGCAAGAAGCTCGACCATAAGCGCATGGGCCCTTACCGTATTCTCGAAAAAATCGGCACTCGATCCTTCCGTCTCGATTTACCACCAACGACCAAGCTACATCCTGTCTTTCATGTAAACTTACTTGAGCGTGCGCATCCAGATACGATCCCCGGTCGAGCCTCAAAACGACCTCCTCCGCTTGTCGTCTCCGGCGATGAGGAGTACGAGGTTGAGGCCATTTTGGATTCACGGATCAGGCGCAACCACCTTGAATACTATATACATTGGAGAGGCTACCCCGTATCCGAACGAACCTGGGAACCGGCCGCCTGTGTCAAGAATTCCCCGGACCTTGTTCGCGAGTTCCATCTGCAACACCCTCACAAACCCAGCCAAAGGCCTCTTGGAACTCGGCCCTAGAGGGGGAGGTTGTCACGAGACAAGAGCTTGCTCTTGTGACTTCGCCCTAACGAGTATAAAAGGGCCTTAGATAGCAAATCTATAGCTCTTTACTTGGTATCGCCAATACAACATACTCTTTAACCTATTCCTTATACTCATTTCTTAGTCCTTGATCAAGGTTCTCTTTATCTACTTCATTCTATTGCTTGGTCTGCTTTCTTGACAGATATACACAATACATTGGCGATATTGTGGAAAAAGAAAAGTTGGACGAGCGTAACTTCTGTTTTCCCATCCGTAAGAAACGACTACAGCAACTCCACGAAGAGGAATCCAACTTTAATGCTATGTTTGGTGGATTTCGATCTACGTCAGAGGCTGTCTTTGGTGATCTCATGAAAACATTCGCCAAGTTTAATAACAAGGAGATTGTAAGAGTTGGATCCAAAAAGGAGTTTAATCTTACATTCCGCCTTTGTCTTCTGTTGCTAAATATTCGCAACTTTGTTAAAGCAGTGGACATCGAAGAGCAGCCACATCATCGTGGATGGATGGAAGAAGGAGTAGATTATCCACGAGAAAGGCAACTTGTCCCAGAGTTAACACAAACCGTTACAGTACAAAACAAACTGGAAAATGGTCTTGAGTTACAAAGAATGCAAGAGAAATTTGTAGGAATAGATGTTGCTTCAGATGATGATGATGAACAAACGTCAAATAAGGGGAAATGTCTTGGGTCGAAATAGTTAAATATGTTATGGAATACCAATGGAAGTTGCAAGAATTTGTACAGACGATTATGGAAGGAGTTTTTAAAAAGACAACAGATATATCTATAAAGAATACATATACAAAAGCAAAAGAATCCAAATGGACATAGTTATCTAGCAGTATTACAAGAGCAAAACGTAAGGAAAGAGTATCAACATAAACATATTTTACATATCGGTAATCGAGGAATAGAATTGGGGGAGATCGCTTTTTTTTGGGCGAGGGAGTACACCTATTTTCTCGTCTTTTGTTAAGCTATGCCCACCATTTTAAAACACCTACGTTCATATAACATATATAGCATTTATACGTGTGTCCCCGGTGAATCTCATGCATATACATCATGATGATAATGGTACCAGCTTGGTTGACAGTACATGAATTTCCTGGGAATAATTCCCATAATACTACTTATGGAAGGTATATATATTGCACATTTTAAAAGTTTATTCCGATAGCTCAACAACATTGGCTGTATCTAATTCTTCCTCTTGATTTACCATGAGACCACTGGCAAATCCTTTGATCAAGGCATTTATTATATAAATCTCCCTCTTCTGCTGGGAAATAATTTGGTTCATCTTATCCATTTCTTTCTCTAATTTTCTGACACGTTTCTTTAACTTCTTATTCTCATACTGTAAATCATCATCGGATTGTTGCACATCCTCATCTTTCTTACATCTCCCAGATTTCACATGCTTTCCATCATTCTTTTTTGCCTGATAGCTCTCCTTGGGAGGCCTTTCAAGTCCAAATTATCATATGGTGTTTGTTACATCTCTGCAGATCTTGACGATATCCACCGCGTCCATTAGAGGAGAGTGTATGTATGATATCAACCATTTAAAACAACCACTGTAACATTCCTTGCGCGATTATCCTACTAAACACAACTACATTCTCCAAACAACAAAGTCTTCTTATTTTTCGCACACCAAACTCTTGAATATGTCCATCTACTATTAAACTGTAACCCTCACTGCAAGATTCGACAGAGTAGTTCTTGTATGTGATCATCTAAAGCACTTGTATTCTCAACTGTATCTTTGTCGTGAAATACAGGGGAGAGATTACATTTTAAAAATTCTTGTGCTGTCTATTGCTATTTTATTCTGTGTTCTGTTGCCCACTATGAAGAGATATGCCAGTTATGGAAGTCAACACTCCGTTCCTTGGACTTTGGATATTTTTTATATGCCTTTTTATATCCTCTGCACATGAAGGGGCCGCTACCGAATAAAATATAAAAATATATTTGTATTCTCAACTATGTGCTTGCTGTATGATAGATACCATCCTACATGCTGTTGTGTATACAGTTAAGTATAAGCCTTTTTAAAAAATTGTTATTGTTGGTTAACGTCATGACAATCCAATACATAAATATTATTATGGATCTAACAAAACACTTCCAACAACTGCTTGATGACCATTGGACTTTCCTTGACGCTGGATGGCCAACAATTACACCACGTAATAATCATCGTACTGTAAGCAAGGAAATTGGGTATATGCCAGAAATAAAAGAAACCCTAAATCGACGCCTTGGTCCTATTCCAGTGTACTTCTTTCTTGTTGACATCTGGCCAAAGGTTAAGTATCCTGGTCCATACAAAGAAGTGGAGAAAGGTCTTTTAATGCTCTATCATCTTGTCAAAGGACTGTCTATGGAAGCAATGGAACCACACATGCCAAAAAGTAGTTTTCATGCAATGCACTCTGTGTTTTATAAGAAAGAATATACTTTGCACAACAAGTACATCACCAACTGTATTGCAACAATGTTCTCCACAATTAAAATACGCCTTTTGTCTGCAAAGGAAAAGAATCCTCCATTATTTAAGCATGTTACATTGCATCTTGATGGTCATGATACAAGAGCAACATACAAAGGTGAGAGTAGTGCTGATATGTACTCTTACAAGCTGAAAAAGTCAGGATTACGCACACAGGTAGCAATGGATTGTAATGGCATGGCTTTATTTGTCTCCAAATCTGCATCTTGCAAGAACAATGCTGATGGAACAATGCTGCTAACGATGAAGTTGGACAAGAGAGTGCATGAGATGGATTGCATTGCTCTCGATGGAGGGTATCCACAGTTCTTAAGGAGGCTTATAGATGAGTCTGATATTCTTAGAGTCCAAAATTTCGCTCATCCATACCGTAAACAGAAGAACAAGGAACTTACACAGGAAGAAGCGTTATACAATACCACCTTTGGTAGTTTCCGCTCGCAGATGGAATCTCTGTTTGCAGACCTTGGTTCCACATTTGAGAAACACAACAACCGTACTCCTGTGTTGGTGGATAAGAAACAAACATATAATTTGCAGTTGAAGTTATCTTTGTTACTCTTAAACATGAAAAAGATGGTTGCTTTGTTGAAGATTTCTGCAGAACCAATTCATACAGCTTGGCTTCGCGAAGGATTCGAGTATCCGACAACAGAGAACGACGTTGAGCAACCAATGGGATATGTTGATGTTGGTGCGCTAGTGGAGGATGGAAATACAATGGCACAACTCCAGAACGAATTTCTTGGTATTAATCTTCATGGTGATGTTGATGTTAATGTTGATGAGGACACACCAATGGATCAAGCAGTAATAATGCAACCCGGTCTTTCCATTGAGCTTAGAGGTACGAAGCGACAAATGGATGTTAATGGTAATTTGTAGACTTATTGCAGGTTTTTAAAATAATAGACATACATAGCCTATTTAGTCAGCGTTGAGATACGGTATTAACTGCCTAGACGCTAATATGCACCGGTATCTATTATTAAAAGTCATGGTATTATTGTAGTAGATCGGATGCTATTCTATGCTATTCTACAACATTCCTTTTTATTTAACAAAGAGGATAAACACATGTACAAACCTACGTCATAAAAGAATACATAAACACATGTACAAACCTACGTCATAAAAGAATACTACATTCTTAACCATTTTTAAACCCCGTCTTTAACGCCAAGCAGTCTTAATAAGCAAGATCTACGTCATACGAGGAACACTACGTTATTAACCACTTAGATGCCTTTTTAAAACTCTTTTGTTACTAAGCGCCAAGCAGTGTTAATAAGCAAGCGCTATTAATATCCAGTGTGGCAGTGTCCCATGAATTAGTATAAATAAAGGACTCCACTTCCCTCTTGCTTAATCTTTATCTTATCTAGTAACCAACCAACCATTATCCATATCTATACAACCATCCATACCTATACATCCATCTTTTATTGCAATTCTTTATATCAGTGTACTAAGCAGCTGCAATCTACCACACATAAACTGAAAAGTCATTCACACCCACCATACCACAAGTACAATCTATATCGTTCATATCCAAAAACATGAAGTACGTTCAGCTTACAATCGAGCTCATCACCAAGGCCTTCGAGACATTTTCTTCTAAGAAGGGAGTGGAGTTTACCAAGAAAGATGCAAATAAGATCTTTAAGGCGCTTGATGAGGATGAGGGAGTAGAGAGATACTACTTTTGTGGTGCAAAGTGCACCAAGTCCAAGCGCAAATGCATGAAGGAAGTTGATGATGAAGGCATGCATTGTTATGTCCACGATCCTGCGCGCAAGTGTCAAGGCACAACCATTAAGGGCGCTAATTGTGGTAGTGTAGCCAAACTTGGTGAAACTTACTGTGGACGTCATCGAGAGCAGCATAAAGGTCATATGAAAAGCAGTAACAATAAGGCACCTGCCAACAAGCGTACCAAGTCTTCCAAGATAACCAAGAAGACACATACTCCTGAGTTTGTCCCTTCAGATGATGATATGACTTCCGAGGATGAAGAACCAAAGAAGCGAAAGAGAAACAAGCAGGAGTCATCGGATGAGGAGCCGTCCGATGATGATGAAGAAGATATAATTGCCGTCTCCTTTCCGTTGAGTCCAAAGGTAGTTGACATAACGTCCAAGAAAAATGTACCACTCGCTAATACAGGCATATGGATGCGTTATGCAACTAATCCAGCTTTCCTGTATGCAAAAAACTATACTGTAAATGGCAAGTACATTATTAAGCTGAAGGAAAAGGACCTCTACATTGTATTGTGTCCACCTGAGCTCATGGGGAAAAATCTTCCTGTACCGAAATTATCTGACAAAGAGGTACGTATATTACAAAAGATGGGACTCCAAGAGGCAACTCCTGCTGATGTAGAAAAAATAGAAGAGTCTTCTGCTGATGAGAATTCTGACGATGATACAGATGATGGTGATACGTCTGATGATGCTGGCTCTGACGATGATTCCCCTGATGATAAAGACTCTGATGATGGCAAGTCCAATAACAGACCTGATGTAGAATCTGGAGATGATACCTCTAAGGATAACCCTGATGAAAAACTATCTCATAAAAAGTCATCTAAGGATGATGAGAAGAAGACTTCTCGAAAGAAAAGGCATTCAGAGATGCCCAAAAATGCAGAGCCATCTTCTAATGTAGACGTTTCTAAGGATGGAAAAGATGAACATACATTTGCACTGGCCACAACGGTGCATAACATTAGATCAGAGAAAGACATAGCACGTGCGAAGGACAGAGGATGGATGATTCATCCTAATAACGACATGCTTGAGTATGCAACTAAGTTTACGATGAATGGCAAGTACATTGTCAGGCTATCTGGAAAGAATACATACGTTGGCCTGTTTACGCTTGATGCTCTGCGCGGTGTCGGTGATGTTCCAGAGTTGGATATCTTGGAACGCTCCATGCTTAGCAAAGATGAAACTTCAACCATTGTCTGATGAAGAGAGAAAGACGCTTTTCAACGAGGAGATCGAAGTAGAAGAAGAAGTACCAGTAGAAGGACCAACAGATAAATCCAAGGTGATATGGAAAAAACTTAACAAGTACTTGGAATATTCCGAGAATGTACTTGTAAATGGAATGCACATTCTCAAGATGCGCAAAAAAGACACTGTAATCGGCTTGATGACTGATGACCATATTGCTGCAGAGAATGTAGAGTGTCATTCTCTTAGCCAGAAGGAAAAAGAGAAGTTGTTTGCTATGGGATTTAAACCGCATGAGCATAAGCAAAGCTTGCCACAGAAAGATGAGAGCACATGTGAGGATGATAAAGATGCTGAGGGCGATAAAGATGCTGAGGATGACAAAGATGCGGTGGGTGATAAAGATGCTGAAGATGACAAAGATGCTGAGGGTGATAACGATGCTGAGGATGACAAAGATGCTGAGGGTGATAACGATGCTGAAGATGATAAAGATGCTGAGGATGATAAAGATGCTGAGGATGTTATGTGGAAAAGGTACCCTAAAGATAAAAGCTCCTCGGGTATAATCGTCATAGATAAAGACGAAATTAAATGGACAACATGTTCGTTTGACAAGAAGCATGAATATGCAACCAACTACCTTTTCGACGGATGTCATCTGCTCAAGAGGTACGAAGAGGACATTATTGTTGGACTGCTGTATAAGATACCTGCAAACGGTGACAGTAACTATAGTCGAGACAAATTTACCAACAACAAACAAAAGCAGAAGTTAATTGCCATGGGGTTCACGATCGAGGAATTGCCTAAATTGTACTCTCCAGATGTAAAGTTTTGGTAGTTGTTGAGACAGATGAAGAGTAGATATTTTAAAAACTATCCAATTGTCAACAGTTGGCATTTGTGGTTGTATATATAGCATGAACTTTTTAAAAATGTAACATGTCTTCGACACTTCCACCTAGGAGGCCTTTCAAGTCCAAATTATCATATGGTGTTTGTTACATCTCTGCAGATCTTGACGATATCCACCGCGTCCATTAGAGGAGAGTGTATGTATGATATCAACCATTTAAAACAACCACTGTAACATTCCTTGCGCGATTATCCTACTAAACACAACTACATTCTCCAAACAACAAAGTCTTCTTATTTTTCGCACACCAAACTCTTGAATATGTCCATCTACTATTAAACTGTAACCCTCACTGCAAGATTCGACAGAGTAGTTCTTGTATGTGATCATCTAAAGCACTTGTATTCTCAACTGTATCTTTGTCGTGAAATATAGGGGAGAGATTACATTTTAAAAATTCTTGTGCTGTCTATTGCTATTTTATTCTGTGTTCTGTTGCCCACTATGAAGAGATATGCCAGTTATGGAAGTCAACACTCCGTTCCTTGGACTTTGGATATTTTTTATATGCCTTTTTATATCCTCTGCACATGAAGGGGCCGCTTGGAAGACTTTATCTTGCATTCCTTACATGTATTTCTGGAATCATCGTAGAAATCATATGAAGGCTTCTTTTGGTCACACCTGTTGCAAATCCTTTTTGGCATATTAGGCGGAATGGTGATCTCTTGATAGTTGATATACCACGTTTTTTCCCGGGAATATTTCTCTCAATGTTTGTGTTTGAGGGCATACACAACAATATCTAATATAGATGTCAAGTTGTATCTATTCAAGGGAGTAATTGACAAATAGGTATATAGGGGGATGAGCATTTAGACGTCTTATCGCCGCAAATATATTATGCCCAGGCCTACACGTTTAACCAAAGCACGCCAGCAGGAAGTTGTTGCAGATTTTATTTATGAGAAGAATCTGGAATTGTGTATGTTTGTCTATTTGGATGAATTTTTAGATCATCATCGTAACCTCTTTCCACAAGATGCCACTATATTTGGCACTAACGGCATAAAAAAGTTATTAGAGGCATCTTATCAACTCCTACGTGACAAAATACGTGCAGATGGATTACTTACCGAGAAAGACGCTGGTGAATATATGCTTAGAAAAAAATGACGACCTAAATTATAGACTTTTTAAAACCTAAGTATACCTTTTATTATGTCGCCAACAAAAGAATCTCTGATAAACAAAGCCATCAACGAAGTTTCCCACTTGCTGTCAAATGTGGGTAATCTACAGTCAGCACCATTTGGCAGTGTGGAGAGAAAAGGATTCACCAAATTCTCCAAACTCTTTTGCGATTCCATCATCTTTTGGGGTATATATAACTTTGCTGACGATACCACTAAAGGTACAGCAATTGGAAAATACATTGCTGAACTGCGCGATGCATTTAACCACACCGATTTAAATGTGGAATCTGTAAAGTTGGTCGATGCTAGGCAGGTTAAAATGGATGATAACTATTTTTCTCCGCGCATGGTCAAACGCCATAGAAAGTTGTTTGTTGGAAAAGAATACCAACAGGGATTTATTGCCATCAAGGTTTCTTTAGATTTTTCCCGTGCAAAGATTGTTGTGCCAATTTTGGCGAACATGTTGTCTAGCTTGAACGAGAGCGGCATTGCTTTACATGATATAGACTTTGCCTATGATTGTACGCGTATTACCACACGACTGCACGTGGAGAGATTGCTAAAACAAACGAAAACTACAAAAATTGTCGATGATGTGGGAAGAGTAGGACATCATTGTATTTCATGGAGAGGTCGAAAAGGGGATACAAAGAATATCCGATATAAGGTGTATAACAAATTTGTTCAGATTTTGGAAAGTGCCGAGGTGCGAAAGAGTCTTGGTTCACGTTTGGAGGATTTGGTGGAGAAAGAAACAGCATTTGGACGACGAGTTAAAAAATATAAAAAGCATGGTTATAGTCGTATCGAGCTGACGTTTGAAGGTTCATCTTTGAGATCTCTTCAGTCATATCAAGACGAAATGGACAAGACAAAGAATCTCTTGAAGAAATGTAAAACATTTAAATGTTCCTTTGAGATGCAGTGGGAGGAACGTGCAAAATGCATTACCTCGATGGTGGCTGTACATTTTCCACATGAGAAACTGTTTGCTTATTGTCACTGGTGGAATTCGGTAACCTCTAAGAAGTATGGATATATGTGGCAAAACTTTAAGAACCCCGAGCTTATTACACTTTTGCTGGCTAACTATTCCTTTAACGATAGACCTATATACTTTGTGGAAGGACATGTAGAAGAGGTAAATGGGAAAGAGAAAGTTATTTTGGGCGAAATAAGGACATTTAAGCGCGAGCCTGGATGTACTGCCATCACACTAGTTGCTGGCTCGCAAAAAGGAATGTTTCCTTCGAGGGATGCATCTTCTAACGTCATTCGTAAATTTAGCAAAGTTGGAATTGTGGAAGTTGACAACATCTCTATTGCCTGGCCAAAGCGTGTTCATAACAGGTATAGTGCCCCACTTGCAGATATCTTCGAATATGATGAAGATATAGTAGACACAAATGTGTTACATCTGAAAACTATTCATGTTTCGATGTATACTGCAGCCGACCGAATTCTAACGCCCGATGAAGAGTATACCATTGTGGCGGCCGGTCTCAAAGAATTTCGTTCTGAACATCGTTGGCATTTTATTACAGCATGTGGCATAAAGGTGCGCGCAGGAAAATCGTTGGCAAAGATTTGGAGACCATGGCGTGTGGAGCATCTTCAAGGTCTACAGAGAATTGGTAGTGTGCAAGGTGTACCGTTGATGACATTTCGTGCAGTAAAAAAGGTTCGTATTCATGGCGAGGACGATATGAAGTGCGAGCGCGTTTGAGAGGTTTTTAAAAACTTTGGAAAGACTTTTGTTAATTATAGACTAGTATTATCATCTTCGTGGTTTGACATTTCCTCGTCATCATCCTTATTTGACGTTTGTTCATCATCATCATCTGAAGCAACATCTATTCCTACAAATTTCTCTTGCATTCTTTGTAACTCAAGACCATTTTCCAGTTTGTTTTGTACTGTAACGGTTTGTGTTAACTCTGGAACAAGTTGCCTTTCTCGTGGATAATCTACTCCTTCTTCCATCCATCCACGATGATGTGGCAGCTCTTCGATGTCGACTGCTTTGACAAAGTTGCGAACATTTAGCAAGAGAAGACAAAGGCGGAGTGTAAGATTAAACTCCTTTTTAGATCCAACTCGAACAATCTCCTTGTTATTAAACTTGGCGAATGTTTTCATGAGATCACCAAAGACAGCCTCTGACGTAGATCGAAATCCACTAAACATAGCATTAAAGTTGGATTCCTCTTCGTGGAGTTGCTGTAGTCGTTTCTTACGAATGGGAAAACAGAAGTTACGCTCGTCCAACTTTTCTTTTTCCACAATATCGCCAATGTATTGTGTATATCCTCCATCGAGAGCAATACAGTCCATGTTGTTGATCTTCTTACCAATGCCCATCTCTTGTAACATTTTCTCATCGTTGTTATCACGACATGGCGCTGATTTGGATACAAAGAGAACCATTCCATTGGCATCGATGGCCACTTGCGTTCTCAAACCCGATTTCTTTAGCTTATAAGAATACATTGCTGCTTTATCTTCCCCATATGTTGCTCGAGAGTCATGACCATCCAAGTAGAGAGTTACATGCTTGAACATTGGGGGATTTTTCCAATTGGCTGTTCGAATACGAATTTCCAGCGAAGAAAACATGGATGCAAAACAGCGTGTAATCTCCTTCTCAAACAATGCACGTTCCACCTTGACGAATGTACTGTATATCAAATGGAATGTGGACTTTGGCATATACTGTGCCATGGAATCCATAGTCTCTCCAGCGACGAAAAAGTACAAGAATGCAATTCCTTTCTCAAGTGCGTTATATGGACCAGGGAAATAGTGTTTACTCCAGATGGTAGATAGAAAGAAAAACACTGGTATGGCTCCAAGTCTCTTCATCAACACCTTTTTCATATCCTGTATTCTTGCGATTGGTTTCAACTCTGAACGATGAAATGTCTTGACCTTTGGGCACATTGGCCACGGTTCATCAAGAAATCCCCATTCGTTCTCCAACAGATTATCAAGCAGCCGTGCAAGTTTCTTTGGCGTAAGGTTTACGACGGTATTAGTCTCCATAATGTCGTTTTCTGCAAAAATAGGGAGTATACACACGTAATTATGTCAATTATTCCCTAGAATTCCCCAGATACGTCATATTAAGAAATGGTGGGCATAGCTTAACAAAAGACGAGAAAATAGGTGTACTCCCTCGCCCAAAAAAAAGCGATCTCCCCCAATTCTATTCCTCGATTACCGATATGTAAAATATGTTTATGTTGATACTCTTTCCTTACGTTTTGCTCTTGTAATACTGCTAGATAACTATGTCCATTTAGATTCTTTTGCTTTTGTATATGTATTCTTTATAGATATATCTGTTGTCTTTTTAAAAACTCCTTCCATAATCGTCTGTACAAATTCTTGCAACTTCCATTGGTATTCCATAACATATTTAACTATTTCGACCCAAGACATTTCCCAAAGAATACATATACAAAAGCAAAAGAATCCAAATGGACATAGTTATCTAGCAGTATTACAAGAGCAAAACGTAAGGAAAGCGGCCCCTTCATGTGCAGAGGATATAAAAAGGCATATAAAAAATATCCAAAGTCCAAGGAACGGAGTGTTGACTTCCATAACTGGCATATCTCTTCATAGTGGGCAACAGAACACAGAATAAAATAGCAATAGACAGCACAAGAATTTTTAAAATGTAATCTCTCCCCTGTATTTCACGACAAAGATACAGTTGAGAATACAAGTGCTTTAGATGATCACATACAAGAACTACTCTGTCGAATCTTGCAGTGAGGGTTACAGGTTAATAGTAGATGGACATATTCAAGATATTGGTGAGCGAAAAATAAGAAGACTTTGTTGTTTGGAGAATGTAGTTGTGTTTAGTAGGATAATCGCGCAAGGAATGTTACAGTGGTTGTTTTAAATGGTTGATATCATACATACACTCTCCTCTAATGGACGCGGTGGATATCGTCAAGGCGGCCCCTTCATGTGCAGAGGATATAAAAAGGCATATAAAAAATATCCAAAGCCCAAGGAACGGAGTGTTTACTTCCATAACTGACATATCTCTTCATAGTGGGCAACAGAACACAGAATAAAATAGCAATAGACAGCACATGTTTTTTTAAAATGTAATCTCTCCCCTGTATTTCGCCCCAAAGATACAGTTGAGAGTACAAGTGCTTTAGATGATGACATACAA